AGCATTTGAACCCTGAAGCCATGCCCACTGCTTATTTGGATACGCTTGACTCTGCATTCGGAACTGTTCAGGATGGAGATGAACTTTTTGCCAAATTTATGGACACGTTCCAGGACAGTGGTGAGAAGGCATCTGCTTACCTTCAACGTCTCCAAGTGGCCCTAAACTCTGCTCTGAAGAGGGGAGGCGTTATAGACTCTGAGATCAATCGCCATCTGTTAAACCAGTTTTGTCGTGGATGCTGGGATAACAATTTGATAGCTGAGCTCCAGCTTAAACAGAGGAAATCCCAACCACCCACTTTTGCGGAGCTGCTACTTCTTTTGCGGACTGAAGAGGACAGAGAAGCTGCTAAATCGGTGCGAATGAAGCAGCATCTTGGGTCCACCCGTCCAAAAGTCACTGCTCATGCTCAAGTTGCTCGTTCTGACCCGGGTGATGGAGGGGCCGTTGCTGCTTTAACTAGCATCACACAGAAATTAGCGGAACAAATGGCTGACATTCAACGCCAGTTAAACATGCTAACTGCTAGCCATTTGAACTCTCCCTCTAGGCCGCAAGTCAAGGACAGAGCTACAGCACAGCAGCCCCGCAGATCTACAGTCTCTCAGCCAAAACCTGGTTTTTGTTTTCGATGCGGCGAAGATGGCCATATCCGTCCACAATGTGAAAATGAGCCTAATTCAACGCTGGTTGCACAGAAGAAGAAACAGTTTTCCAGAAGGCAGTCAACCAACACTTATTCCAGCACTTTAAACTAAGTCCGGCTTCTGTTGTGGGACAGATGGAAGCCACGCGGGACCAAAGCTGTCCCAATAAAGGAAAAAAGACTGTTAAGTGTGCTGAATTGTCAACGTCTCAAAGCTTACCCCATAAGCTTCCAAAGGGGTTGATTGGTTCAAAATGTTCTGCCATTGTTACCATTTCTGGACGAGACCAGCATTGTCTCTTGGATACTGGGTCACAGGTGACCACTGTCCCAGTGTCGTTTTACAACCAGACCCTTAGTGACCAACCGGTGAAACCCCTTGACAATTTACTCCAGGTGGAGGGAGCCGCAGGCCAGTCTGTGCCTTACTTGGGCTACGTGGAGTTGACGATCACTTTCCCAAGAGACTTTTTGGGGGAAGAAATTGATGTCCCAACGCTCGCCCTGGTTGTGCCGGACATTCACCCTGACGGTCTTTCATCGGTTTTGATCGGCATGAATACTCTGGAACCCTTATATGAGCAGTACCTCTCCGGTGACTCTTCGAACTTCCAGCCAGCTGCTCAAGGCTACTGCGCAGTCCTGAAGCTCCTACAACTCAACCACCAACAGACACAAGAAGGTGCCGTTGGGACTGTGAGGTTGCTGAGTCAGGCACCGGTTTTAGTCCCAGCTGGTCAGACAATTGTCCTGGAGGGCGTTGCCAGAGGAGAACATCCTTGTGCCGTCCATTGGGCTGTAGTGGAACACCCTACATCACCACTTCCGGGCGGCTTGTGCATTCAGAGTTGCCTAGTCACGGTTCCAATCCATGCACCATACAAGGTACCTGTTGTTGTCCAAAATGAGTCAGAACAAGATACTCTCATCCCTCCAATGACAGTCATCGCAGATATTGCCGCTTCTCCAACCATTTTGTATCAACAAACCGTTGCCGCACCAACTGTAAACGCACCAAACATTCCAGCTACATGTCAGAGGGGCACTTTGAAGTTCAATTTTGATGATTCTCCAATCCCAGCAGACTGGAAGGAGCGAGTAACAGCCAAGTTAAATGAAATGCCTGAAGTCTTTTCTCATGACGACCTGGATTTCGGCTGCACGGACAGAGTAAAACATACTATCAAGCTTCATGATGAGACGCCTATCAAACAACGGGCCAGGCCAATACATCCTCGAGACATCGAAGCTGTCCGTAGACATTTGCGAGACCTCCTCAACGCTGGTGTTATTCGAGAGTCAGAGTCTCCTTTCGCGTCTCCGATTGTGGTGGTCCGGAAGAAGAATGGCAATGTACGACTCTGCATTGATTATCGGAAGCTAAATCTTGCAACCGTGAAAGATTCCTATGCTTTACCAAACCCCGAAGAGTCGTTCTCGGCTCTAAGTGGCTCCAAATGGTTTACCGTCTTGGACCTGAAATCTGGGTATTACCAGATCCAGATGGATGAAGCAGACAAGGCCAAAACCGCTTTCGTTACACCGCTGGGGTTCTGGGAATGGAATCGGATGCCCCAAGGGGTAACCAACGCTCCCAGTACGTTCCAGAGACTCATGGAGAAGTGTATGGGAGATTTAAATCTGAAAGAGGTACTGGTGTTTCTCGATGACATAATCGTCTTCTCGGGCACTTTGGAAGAGCACGAGAAGCGGCTGGTGCAAGTCCTCGAGCGTCTCAAGAAGTTTGGACTAAAACTGTCCCCTGAAAAATGCAAATTTTTCCAGTCCAGTGTGCGTTACCTCGGGCATGTGGTGTCCGAGAAGGGTGTTGAGACCGACCCCGAGAAGTTATCCTCGCTCAAATCCTGGCCGGTTCCCCGAAACTTGAAGGAGCTGAGATCCTTCCTCGGGTTTGCAGGATACTATCGGAGGTTCATCAGAAACTACGCCACCCTAGTCAAACCACTTAATGCTCTCACTCGTGGCTATGCACCAGTACATAAGTCCACTAAAGATAAGAGTACACTTGTGAAGTATCTTGATCCAAAGCAGTCATTTGGAGACAGATGGACTGAAGAATGTCAAACTTCTTTCTATGTTGTGATTGAGAAGCTAACATCTGCGCCAGTTCTTGGTTTTGCAAATCCAAAGTTACCATATATCTTGCACACAGATGCCAGTACGACTGGTTTGGGAGCCGTCCTGTATCAAGAGCAAGAGAATCAGCTGCGGGTGATCGCCTATGCAAGCAGAGGCCTGTCGCAAAGTGAGTCTCGATACCCGGCCCACAAACTCGAGTTTCTCGCGCTTGAAATGGAGTGTTACGGAAAAATTCCATGATTATCTGTATGGAACAAACTTCACTGTGGTTACAGATAACAATCCTCTTACTTATGTTTTAACATCAGCCAAACTAGATGCCACAAGTCATCGATGGTTAGCAGCATTGTCCACTTACTCTTTTAAAATGCAATACCGTGCCGGAAAACATAATCACGATGCCGATGCTCTTTCCAGACGTTGCCATGATGAGGTTGCGGAAGACCCACAATCTAAACAAGAGTGGGATCTCATTCACCATCTGGCTGAGCAATTGTCAGTCCCGGATGAAGCTGCAGAGATATGTCCTGACATTGTTAATGCCATCTGTCAGAGCAGTCTTGCTAGAGCTTCTCCCCAGTCCGATGTCACTCTGGTTGAATCCATGACAGTCTCTGCTGAAGCTATTCCATCAGAGTTTGCCAATGAAGAGTTGCACGGCTTACCTGTACTTCCCTCTATGACACACACAGATTTGAGGGAAGAACAGAGTGCCGACCCCGCAATCCGAGAAGTCATCCGCCAACTGGAAACTGGTGAGAGAATCCTCCCTGCTCTTCGGGAAGAACTTCCAGAACTTCCCCTGCTGTTACGGGAGTGGAATCGCTTGGCGTTGGATGATGATGTTCTGTATAGGAGGAGACAAGAAGACGATACAGTGGTCCTTCAACTTGTCCTACCTCCTGCCCTGCGTTCTACCGTTCTGAAAAGTCTCCATAGCGACATGGGGCACATGGGGATAGAACGGACTCTGGATTTGGTGCGGCAACGGTTTTTCTGGCCAAAGATGGCAAGTGATGTGGAGCACTTCATTCAATCATGTGGCCGGTGTGTGCGACGCAAAACCCCACCTGAACGAGCAGCTCCATTGGTAAATATCCAAACAAATCGTCCTTTGGAACTTCTATGTATTGACTTTCTTTCTATTGAGCCAGATAGCAGCAATACAAAAGACATTTTAGTGATGACTGATCACTTCACCAAATGTGCTGTCGCTATTCCAACTGCGAATCAGAAGGCGAAAACTGTAGCAAAGTGTTTGTGGAGTGATTTTATGGTCTACTATGGTATTCCTGAGCGTCTACATTCGGATCAAGGACCCGATTTTGAATCGCGACTAATTAAGGAACTTTGTGAGGTGGCCGGGATTAAGAAGACTCGAACTACCCCGTACCATCCTAGGGGCAATCCGGTCGAACGGTTTAATCGGACCCTTTTAAGCATGCTGGGTACACTTGAGAAAAAGCAAAAGTCTAAGTGGAAAGACTACGTCAAACCTCTTGTTCATGCATATAATTGCACAAAAAATGAGGTGACAGGGTTCACACCCTATGAACTTTTGTTTGGACGGTCACCGAGGCTCCCAGTCGATCTGGCTTTTGGCTTAGCGGTGAGGGAATCACAATCTCCTTCGCACTCCCAGTATGTGAAGAGCCTCAGAGCACGACTTGAAGAGAGTTACAAGCTTGCATCTCAGAATGCCCAAAAATCCGCTCAACGTAACAAAAATCGCTTTGACCGCCGTGTAAAACCTGCAAGCTTGGAAGCTGGTGACCGTGTGCTTGTCCGGAATGTCAGAATCCGTGGGAAGCACAAGCTCGAGGATAAGTGGGAGCAGGAGGTGTATGTGGTTATCCATCGTACCGGTGATCTTCCAGTTTATGTTGTGAAACCAGAGACCCGAGATGGACCTACTCGCACACTACACCGCGATCTTCTCCTGCCATGTGGGTTTCTGCCAACCTGTGTTGAGGACCCAGAACCTTCTCTCGCTAGAAGACCCCACACTCGCAGCCAGAATCAACATGCTGATCCGGTCATGGAGAGCGAGAGTGAAGATGATGCTCAGTCCATAATTATTCACCACTCTCCTACATTTCCAGTGACCCTCCATGTGGAAGAGACCCGTGAAATTGAGCATATACCAGAGACTCGTGCAGTTGATTCACAAACTTCCCTGCGTCAAAGCTCAACTGAACACTTTTCAGCTGTTCCGGAGTCCCAGCGGGTCCCAGCCGCTGAAGATCCGTCAATGTCCAGCTCCGCTGAGTCCGATCCTCCCGAGGTAGCAGTGGAAGATGTGCCTGTAAACGAAACTGACCAGTCCAAATCTGAAAGTAACTTACCCGATCCTGTCGACCCACCTGTGGAAAGAGGAGAACTTACTATCATGTCTGAAGAACACCCACCTGTTGCTGAAGCATTACAGGAGCTTGAAGCTGAGGTTCCTGAGCTGGTTCAGTCGCAGTTACCAGAGGGGGATATAGGGCCAAGACGTTCGTGTCGCAATTGTCACCCGCCACTACGTCTTAGGTATTCCGCATTGGGGAATCCCTTAATCTCAGTTGTTCAAACCCTACTACACAGCTTGTCAACTGTTTGTACTGAGGCACTTAGTCGCGCCGCTGCAGCAGACTCAGTCCCTAGACCGTAATTTTGTATAGTCTCATGCACCGGGTCGCGCATATTCCAAAATGGGGGAGGGTGTAACCCGGTTAATTTTTCAGAGTATTTTCCTTCCCTCCGCAATTCTCGCGATATTTCAGCATCTGTGCGAGACTTGGGCTAGTCGTGGGTTTAAAGATGGCCGCCGCCATCTAGTATTAGCCGTGTGGGACTCGAGTGCTAGAGCTGTTGCAGGTAGGCATCTAAACCATTATTTACGCTAATTATGGAAGTATAAGGGTCACTGTTATGCCTCCAACATTGCAGACGCCTCTTGCCAACTGCGGAAGGGCTGTGCATTATTTTGATCTGCCAAAATATACAGAGAACTGGTGAGTGTGCATTTGTTTACATGCGGAGCTAACATGCTAAATGCTAACGCCCATTCAACTGTATGAGCGTATTCATATTGGTGCTGGCGCCAGTTGGATCGCTCCTATCACTGTTAATACGTGTTATTGATTGCAATGATTATTGTACTTGGTTTAATAGTGATTTTAATGATATGATGATGAAATGAAATCTATGAATGATATATTGTTTGTTAGTTATGAATTGTGATGCTTGATAAATTGTGTCACTTATGGCTGGTCCTGTCTGTACGCACAGGCCAGGTTCCTATTCTGGATGGCGAGCTAAGTCTGGAAAAGACGACAAAGACTGTACCATTGACTCTGCTAGTGCGGTAGGAGGCGCTGCAGCCGCTCCCCACACACACACTACACTCACACCCCAACCCGTGTGTGAATGTGAACTGAGACTGTGGACTAAATCTTTCACAAGAACCTGCTTTTATCCTTGGAAATTGGATTACATGAAATGGACTCTTATGGATGAAATGGAACATAATGAACTGTGCACAAATTGTAAATAATGTATATATGACTTCACTGTACAATAACTAAACACAACTGAGCTCAATATATTTGTTGTGTGGTTCATTGAGCAGCCCATTTTTCCTCCGAGCTGAACCTAGAGAACCTGATTCTAGCCTGTTGTTGTTATTATTCTTGTCTTTAGTATTCTATTTTCTAGTGTTACTATTAATGTAACATTGTACATGTTACACTGTCGTCATGAAGTCATTTGAACGCCTGGTTCTCTCCCATCTCAAGTCCCTCACCTCCCCCCTCCTGGACCCCCTGCAGTTCGCCTACAGAGCCAACAGATCTGTAGACGACGCCATTAACCTGGCCCTCCACCACATCCTACAGCACCTGGACTCCCCGGGGACCTACGCCAGGGTCCTGTTCGTGGACTTCAGCTCTGCCTTCAACACAATCCTGCCATCCCTGCTCCAGGACAAGCTCTCCCAGCTCAACGTGCCCGATTCCACCTGCAGGTGGATCACTGACTTCCTGACGGACAGGAAGCAGCGAGTGCGTCTGGGGAAGAATGTCTCGTACCCTCGGATTATAAATACAGGAGCCCCACAGGGCTGTGTTCTTTCTCCCCTGCTCTTCTCCCTGTACACCAACCACTGCACCTCCAGCCACGACTCCGTGAAGCTGATCAAGTTCGCGGACGACACCACCCTCATTGGACTCATCTCCAACAACGATGAGTCCGCCTACAGGAGGGAGGTGGACCGGCTGGTGTCCTGGTGCAGTGGTAACAACCTGGAGCTGTACGCCCAGAAGACAGTGGAGATGATTGTGGACTTCAGGAAGAGCACTGTCCCCCCGCCCCCACCCTCCGTGATGGACTCCCCCATCACCTCTGTGGAGTCCTTCCGTTTCCTGGGCACCACCATCACCCAGGACCTCAAGTGGGAGCCGACCATCAGCTCCCTCATCAAGAAGGCCCAGCAGAGGATGTACTTCCTGCGGCAGCTCAGGAAAGCCAAGCTGCCTGCACAGATGTTGGTGCAGTTCTACACGGCCATCATCGAGTCCATCCTCACCTCCTCCATCACCGTGTGGTTCGCTGGAGCCACAGTCAGGGACAAACAGAGACTACAGCGCATTGTGCGCTCTGCAGAGGAAGTGATCGGCCGCAGCCTTCCATCGCTGCAGGACCTGTACGTCGCCCGAGCTCGAGGCCGGGCTGGTCGTATCACAGCCGACCCCTCTCACCCTGCACATGGACTATTCCAACCACTCCCCTCAGGCAGGAGGCTGCGGTCCATCAGGACTAGAACCTCCCGCCACAAGAACAGTTTCTTCCCCTCTGCTGTTGGACTCTTGAACACTTCTTAACCTGTCCCCCCGCCCTTTATAAAGTCACTTTACTGCCCATCATACGTCACTTTACTTCACTGTACTGCTGTCACCTTACATTGTGTGCACCATGTGCACTTGTATATTGTAAATAGTAACTGTAACTCTATTTTAAATTTAAATTTATTCTTTAGAAGTGTTTTTTATTCTTATTTTTATTATCTCTTTTTGACTGTTGCACTGAGCCAAAGCAATAACCTAGTCTGTGACCTCCTGTTACTTACGTGGCAATAAAAATGATTCTGATTCTGATTCTGATTCTCTGGAATGTGAAAGGTGTGATATAAATAAAGTGTACTCACTTATTTACTTATAGAGGATCATTTATGGACATTGATCATGGACGGCACGAGTGGCTGAGTGGATAGCACTCTCGCTTCTCAGCAAGAAGGTCCTGGGTTTGAATCCCGGTCGGAGCAGGGCCTTTCTGAGTGGAGTTTGCATGTTCTCCCTGTGTCCGGGTACTCCGGTTTCCCCTACCACTAAAAACATGTACAATAGGTCTGGCATGTGCCTCCAGTACTGGCGACCCCGCTCCCATCTCTGTGTGGAGTGAGAGGGTAAATGCCCAAAAATAACAATTGTAAACCGCTTTGTGACTCTGGTCTGTGAAAGGCGGTATATAAATAAAGATTACTTACCAATGGACAAATGTGTTTTTATAATTACATTTCTTGTGTTTGAACTGTTTATTCACAATAACACACATCTCGTCATGATTATCAGAATATAAACCAACACTATTTGCGAGCAAAGTTTTATTTGTGAATTCATACTGCCATTTATAGTTTCTGGAGCCCAAACACATAATATAATAGAATTCTTTCAAGCGTAAACACTCCTCGCTGTCCCCACTTCCCTGTCGTGGTATTGGCCCGGTTTTATCTACTTTTATTAAGAGTGCTGGAGCTGGAGGTGCAGGTGGAGTGGAGCAGACGGGGGAGATAGGAGGATGTGTGGAGAATTGGTGCGCGGCCGCTGGGGTTACATGTGATTACAAAAGCACAGATCTTAATGAATACAGCAGCTCTGGGACAGGCGTGGGCCCAGGCTGGTGCGGGCCAGTCTCTCAGCGCGCCATACCTAATTATTGCTCCATGTCTGAACTTCTGGGGGTTTGGTTGCTTTGCAGAAGGGAAATTTAGCAGGAATTACTCAGGGAGGTGGGCAAGTTATTAATTCTTGTTCCCAGTAAGGACTCAACAGCTGGTCATTGGAGCAGGGCCAGGAACGCTAAGATTCCTTCTTTGCAGATGTTATGTAAGAGGGAAAAATGATGAGCCTCCTATAGTTTAGCACAGAGCAGCAGCAGATGTATTATGTTAAAGGGAGACAGAGTTCAAGTATAATACAAAATGTACAGGAACCCCTGCCAGACTGAATCTATGGCAGTCATATTGACAACTCCTGAAACTGGAGCCAGAGCATTACCAAGGTCTCTAGTGACTGAGCTGAAATGCATTGAAAAGAGCGGCGGACAAGCAGAAAGCGTTTTGCAAATGAAATTCTTTCCTTTTGAAATAAAGTTATAAAGAGCTGAGCTAGATAAACCAGACTTTAATAAAATCAGTTTATGATGTTTAAAAGTTCACAGCGCAACCTTTTGGATGTGTACGCCACCGTGTTGTTGCCCTGGACGTCTCCTTGCTTTGTTTAATTCACTTCAAGGAATGGACTTTTTTATGTTTTCTTTTTCAAACGGGTTTGATTTTGTCCTGTTGACATCACAAAAATAATCTAAAAGGCTGTCAGTCTGAAGGTCCAGAATATTATTGTGAACTTGTGGTCGCCATTTTATTGAGTGGTTTACTTCTCTTTTGTTGATATTCAATACATCAGGACAACTGTATCACTCATAGAAATAATGCATACATAAAAAAATAGGAACACCTCCGCAATGTTTCTCTTTTTCCAACTGAGTCTTTTAGTTGTTTCTTGTAGATGCAGGAAGGTCTAAGGACGAGTGGACAAAGTGATGATGAGCCAGGACATTTAAGGATATTTATTAACATGTACGAACATTGGCTCCAATATGTTTGTTATCATTGTATATCCTGTGGTTCAACTGTTTGAGTTTCTGATCTGTTGTTGGTTTTTTGATCACTAATGTTGTGCTTTAGAGCTATACAAAAATAGAGCATATAATATTCTATAGAACTATTCTTCAGTACAAACAGGTTTGAAGACAAGAACACAGTAGTTGTGTTGAATATCCTCTGATCTTTCCTTTGACACAGTTGCAGATTTGTGAAAGCTGCTGGTATATTTCTGTCTGTCTTGGTCTAAATAGGTTTGGACACCACTGCACAGGTTGTATGTGGGTCAGTGCAGGCGGAGAGGTGTGAGATGCCACGCAGTGCCAGATCTGTCACCCCGCTGTGACTGCATCAGCCTCTTCTTCAGCTGATTCTGATGCCATTCGCTCACACACAAATCTTCCTCCCGCTGCCACCTGCTGGCTCCTCCTTTTCCACGTGGCTCTGGGGCCTGACGAATCATGGTCACCTGCCGTGAGGAGAGGGGGAACTCCTGAGTCACCGCTGTGGTTCCTGTTACAAATATGACACTGAGGAGCCAAAATGGCCGACGGTGTCGTCACATGACCGTGACCTATGAAGTGGTCAGTGTGAGAGGAGCTTGCACACTGGTGATAATGTAGGTTCAAGCTTAAGTAAGTAAGTAGTAAGTAATCTTTATTTATATACCGCCTTTTCACTGCACATCGGAGTCTCAAAGCGGTTTACAATTGTTATTTTTGGGAGTGGGGCCAGTACAGGAGGCACATGCCAGACCTATTGTACATATTTTTAGTGGTAGGGGAAACCGGAGCACCCGGAGGAAACCTACGCAGACACGGGGAGAACATGCAAACTCCACTCAGAAAGGCCCTGGTCCAACCGGGATTCGAACCCAGGACCTTCTTGCTGAGAGGCGAGAGTGCTATCCACTCAGCCACCGTGCCGCCCATAAAGCATAAAGCTATGACAACCAACTCACTGACCTATGTGGGAGAGAAAAATACAACGGTTTAGGTTTAATAAATGTATTCTCACTAAAATACAATCACTACCATTGTAAGGTTGATATTTCTTCATATTTCATAAGATATGATTTCCACAAGGTTCTTTCTTCTCAAATATTTAAGTGGCCCACCTCATCAATCCTGTGCAGAGTAGTTTCAAGGACAGTATTACATTAAGAACATTGGTTTGTAAAATGTATTTTGTTTTTCTATAGCTCAACATCTGAACAACAGTTGCCTTGAGGGTCTTAAAGAATATTCGATTTTCTATCAGCAGATTAGAAGATCAAGGCTATGCTGTCACTGAATGCATAGCCTTTGTCAGCCATCCTCCTGTGGACTTACCACCTGCAGGAGGATCAGTGAGTGCTCTGTGAATTTGCTGCAGTTCTGAGTGACACCCCCCTGACCCAGAAATGGGTATTTTGGGAAGAAAATGGATGGATGGACAGATGGATAGGTTAGAAGATCACTCAAATAGATCATAATAGAAAAAATAAAATAAAAGTATATCTCCAATGCGGGAGAAAAATAAGAGAAACCTGGAAAACCAGTCCAGGTCGTCCCTGTGGACGTCCCTATGGACGACCAGGACTGAGGTGAAACCTGTTTGATTGCTGAAGGCACAGCATTACAATGAACATGTGTAAAAGATTATTCAAAAACAATGGACTTTTGTCTTTAAAACATGATGTTGAGCACTGTTTCATCAGGAAGTAGTCATACACAGTACAGTCCAAATGTCTTATATTTGTCAAAACCTTTTCAACATAATTCAAATGATCTCCCCTATTCCACCTCACACATTATCACTACATTACATTACAAAACATATGCAAGAGTTTATTTGAACTATTCATGAAGTTTGTATGAGCCAATGTTTTGCTTTACAATCATTTAAAGTGAAAATGTTTAAATTGAACACTTTTTAATTAATTCTCCCGATAATATCCACAATTTTACAACTTTAACAGATAAGCACATTCTAAACTACATGAACTCTCAACAGTTGATTACTCAACATGGCGTGTCACTTCTGAGGACCATCATGCATTTTTATAGGAGCAGAAATCTCAGTAAACATTGCAAAAACAGATTAATAAAAGTAATTCATGAAACATTTTTGTATAATGGTATATTTATAGTCCAACGCTGCCCTGCCCTTTCTCTCCACTGTACTTTACTGTCGTTGATTGCAAGTTGTTCCTTATGGGTGGGCCAGTGCAGCCAAAGTTATTCTTGATAGTCAGTAATTAAACATGAATCATAAGGAAACAATGATAAATCAGCATAAATATATATTTTCTTTTGAGGACTGCAAAACCGCGTCGGCTTGGGTTACATAACACTTTTCCCTTTACTCTGACTGCAAAGAAATAAAAAAAACCTCCACTCGAAACACAGAGAGCAGGCAATTAAGAAGGAAATGACTGGAAGCTAGCATCTCCTCGCAAACTGCTAACGTAGCCACCACATTTGCAATAACAGCCTTTCTATTTATTTAGACAATGACTCAGCCTGCAACCACACTGGAAAGGCTGATTCATTTGTATGTTCTGGTAATAGTAGGCAGGAGGGCTGAGCAGAACCAGGATCGCTGTCAAGGAGACCAGATTGTTGTTAGTTTTGGGCCCAGACTTTGCACAGATTTGGGGGATTAGTGAAGTGGAGTGGCAGGCTTAAAGCTGCAGGGTGGATTGGTTATACTTAACCTTCTGAGCCCTCATACTATTTTAAAGGTTAAATAAACGTAGCAGGATAAACAGTCCGACGGATCAATTTGACTAACTCACTTTAAATGAGATTCACTGCCGGATAATTTGATCTATCATCATGCAAAGAGATTTTTGTATTCATCTTAGGTTCACTTTGAATTGCTCACTTATTTAATTAATAAATCAGTATCAAACAATGCAAATCAGTTCAACATACATGCATTTTTCTGTTTCAGCGTGGGGATATCAATGAGCTTAAAGGTAGGGTTCCTGTTGTTGACAAAATCCTGTCAACAACATGTTCTCATAAAAAAAAGAGCCCTATTTGTCTCTTTGGGCTGATTTGAAATGTGGGACAGAGGCCAAACACGAGAGATGGAAGCACATTTTATAATTACATGTTATGTTTGAAAGTTAGGTTCTCCATCTTTAAAGTTGCATTGCACAAGTTTCCTGACAAGGTCCCTCCATACATTTGTTATCATAGAAATTGTATTGTTTGTTTGGAATGCAAATCTGTTTGATACAACGCTTTAACACTCCTCAATTTGTTTCATGTTTATTGTTCAACATTATTGTTTCAGCATTCAGAGACCACCACATTAACGCGGCATCTTGCTTGTTCACATCTATAGCCCATTGCATTGTTATAGTTTCTTGATAACTGTGCCTCCTAAATAGTATTTATTTTACATAAAGCAAGTCACCAACATGTGTATTTTATTCACTCAAACCTTTATACAAAACATTTACAATGTAGCTTGAACTTTAGAGCTGCACATCTTGAACGACTTTATTTATTAGGATTTGCTTCAATAAAATGACATTCTTATGGCTTTAAGTACTTTCAACTGACAAGAATGACATTTTTGAGGTGAAATAATGGAACCACATCTTGAATTGTGAAAAACCGCTTTGATTTCAAATAGTGCATGAACTTATGGTTTAGTGTGGATTTGTTCAGACATTGCATTAACCATAAACACGACATTCTAAGATGTTCTGCTGAAACATAACGGCAAGACTTCCAGCTCAGTCTCAGAAGATCACTAGAAATAATAATGCATTGGTTTTAAATCAAGCTTTTTTGGACCATTGACCCCTCTGACCACCAACACTTTCCCTACATTACTTATAAAGACACAACAATCTTAGTTTCTGGGGCGACAGTAGCTCAGTTGGTAGAGCATTGGCCTTTGAGCCTGAAGGTCGTGGGTTCGAGCCCACCTCAAGACCTACTTCACGACTCCCACTGATGACTGCTGTCGTTGTGTCCTTGGGCAAGACACTTAACCCCACTTTGCCTGAAGCCCCCACTGAAAGATCTCAGCTCCTGTGGACTCACCAAGAGGATCAGTGAGGGGCTGGTGCTCTGTGACTGGGTGCAGCTTTGACTGCCACCCCCCCGACCCAGAAATGGATTAAGGTGAAGAAAATGGATGGATGGAATCTAAAGCCTGGTTCACACGGCATGATATTTAGGCCGATTTAGACCCGATTTACCCCTTACGACAATCTTAAGAAACGCTCCGATTTCCGTAACAAAATCTTACAGATTATCCTGCCGTGTGTGGTGTGTCGGAAGGACATCGGGACTGCTCCCGATCTCAAATCGGGGATATCCAACATGTTGGATTGTTTTGGCCCGATTTCTTGTCGTGTGTGGTGTCCTCCGAGGACAAGCGAGCGCGTTGCCATGACTACGGCGTGTAGCCAATAAGAAGACGAGGTGACAAGCCGGTGCGGAAACACTGGAAAAAAACCAAAACACAGCAGCATGGCTTTGACCATTGCCTTTTCTTTGGATTACGTGTCTTCTCTGTTAACAACAAACTGCACACTATCGCCACTGCATCCTCTTCGTCCGCCATGACTGTTTACTCTGAAGTCACGCTTGATCTCGAGAGATTTTGTGAGATTTCCGTCTGACCTGGGAATGCTCGGGGGGGGGTGTCGGTTCGTGTGTGATGTTTGTGGCTTGCGTGATCTTGCCGTGTGGCTACGCACCACACACTGCACGACCAAAGTGGTTAGATGCAGGATTTTTAATCTCCCCGTGTGGGGTCTAACACGGAGAAAAATCGGCCGACAATTTTAAAATCGTCTCGTGTGAACCAGGCTTTAGTTTCAGTACTAGGCTCTGCCCTGCTTAGCCTCAGAGGTCTGACGGGATCTGGCGCTCACATGCAAGTATGGCAACTATTATTATTTATTTCATAAACTGTAAATGTATTAATTTCTATGGTTAATGTGTTGATGTCATTCTCTCCTCGGCTGCATCAGGCTTAACACGGCAAAATTGTGTCAGTGTACTGTGGTTTGTAACGAACATAAGGCTAAAGAAAAATAAAGTCAACCACACAGATTATAACTTCGTTCTCTAACAATAAACTGCAATGAAAAGAAAACTTTAACTCTGAAAGTGCTTACGTTTTCTTTGCATTACAAGATAGCAAAGGACAAGATATATTGGTCTTTGCCACACTTAGATGTAAACTGGAAACAATTACCTCAGTCAAACATTGCAGAAGTTCATTCAGTCTGAAAGTGAAGATCTGCGTATGTATGACGCATGGTGACGCATCTTGAAGGTTAGAATCAAATCTCTGAGCTAAAACTGTATTGTGGAGTGACTAATGGACCGGATATCAAGAATATCTCAAACTCTTT